CATTTTGATTGATAAGTCTTAGGACTTGGAGTTGTGCCTAAACAATAAGCAATTAGGAAGAGTATTTCAATCATTTATACATCCAAGAGCATCCATGTCAAGTTAATGTGAGACTTTTATTTATGTATCTCTCTATAAATTCACTCTAAAATGAAAAATCACATCATCATTCACTCATCAACACGATCCCTCTTTAGTTATGAACTTTTCTATATATCCCAATTGCAGCTAGTTAAGAAGATCACACACTTAATCAAAATCTGCATCATATCTATCGTACTATATATGCCCCCATCACCTTAGAGATTCCACCACTTCGAAAATTCACTATGGCGGAATAAGTCGTTACATGTCACGGATTAACAAGGGCCCCATCTTCATTTGAACATTTGTTAATTAAATCCATCCCATGAAAAAAAGTATAGTTCAATCTTGGGGTGTAAGTCGCTACATATCATGACTAACTAGGGTCCCATCTTCATTCAAACCTTCCGAGAGATTTATTGGGTATTCAAAGAATAACTTTGATACAATTGTTGGGACTTTGATTTATTATTATTATTATTATTATTATTATTATTATTATTATTATTATTATTATTATTATTATTATTATTATTATTATTATAGCTTAATTTATGAGGAGGGGTACAATTCCTTAATAAACTCAAGACCGTCATTTCACGAATAATGTGAACTTTTGTGTGTACATCGATATCTAATACATAACAATAGCATATCGATAAGAATTTAGTCCTAATTAATTTATTTCATAATGTTTTTTTTTTTTGTCAATTTCTTTGTTACCTCACACATATTTGACAACATATTAATTTAAATGCCTCTTTTGTTTCTTTTTGACCAACGTAGCCTCATAAGTAGTTACTTGTTTCAATTGAATTTCAATATTCTTCTTGATTGCTAATTTAATTACTTTATTAATGCGTAGTATTACTCGGTCGGTCCAATTATGCTTACTATACATGCTTAATATATATGTTTATATTGTCCAATTCACCTCTTTATTCAAAAATATTCTAAATTTTGGAGCTTTTTCAAGACTTTACGGAAAGCACTTTTTATAGCCTTTTGAGAGAAATTTCAAGATTTTTTTTTTTTTTCTCTCTGGTTGGCCCTGTTGAATTGGTCCTTAAATTTTTTATTTTTTATTTTTTATTTTTTTTTGGGTTTTCTTTATATCAATTCCATTATTCCTAATGTTTTTGAGTTACTTGCACATATAATATCACTCTTGTTTTCTTGATTTAAGAATCTTGTGCCCAAAAGAGTAAGCTTCTACCTTATAAATTTTGACAAGTGATATATTATTTATACAGGCTCTTATTCAATGGAGAGTTTAACATGGACTTTTTCTAATTCATTATAAACAAATTTGAAGGCATAGACGATTTCTTATGGAGATGCCCGTTGTCCCAACACAAAAAGGGAAAAAAATATTATTAGCGATCTCTACATTGATTTTAACAATTTCTTTCTAATTACAAGTCAAAAGACATTAGATCGACTTCTAATCGTCATTCTATAACGAGATTAATTTCTTTAAAACGAAAGTAAAAGATGATCTAGTGTCTATGAATTTTCATGGAAATCGTCTACTTTTGGCTTCCAATTTATTTTCCTACATATATTTTTATGTGTAATAAACCCAGCTTGAATTTATTATTTGACACTTTGGATAAGATTTCTTTTTCATTTACAAAAAGAAACTGGTATAACGTAGGCAGGCCATGTGCTTGTGTCTTTGTACTAAGTATACACAGTTGTCTGAAAACATATAAAACAATCGAACCTCAAACAACCACCAGCAATGGCCATGATATAGGATGCTTCATGTTGGTTTGTCTGGCAAAGACTAGGACATTAATAGAAGTTAAAACTATACGTCCAAATTTGATTCCTTATATTCATAAATGATCTAATGCTTTGAAGATAAAATTAAAATAAATAATTTATAAAAGATTCGAGGTGTAGTGCACAATAGAGAACATGATAAACAATGTTCATGGTTAGTGATTCAATGAAAATAATGCCGAATTGGATTGTAGAAGTTGAGAGGAACCTACTATTTACTTGCTTTAGCTCTTCATACATCATAGTTATGTAGAAAATATTCTCAGAAAGAGATGAAAGAAGATCTTATTCGGTTCAATAAAATATATGGCAGTTAAAACAGCTGCTGGAATAAGGCTTGTTACTGGTAGTATTTTTAGCAATTTTATAGCAAATTTTGGGCAATGCTACGTGTACATAACCATATTACACTCCCCTCACATAGAGGGGAGTCCACACATATAAAATATGTGTGAGCCCCCTCCATGTAAGGAAGGTGTAAGGTTGTGTTTACAATATAGATGCCTTCTACATGACCCTAAAAAATCTTAGCTAGCAAGCTCTTGGTAAATAGGTCGACAGCCCACTATGGACCATATCTCTCATTAAGAGATGGTATTTTCACTCTTCATGTTTTTTCCTCTAGATGTATGAGAAATTTCTTAAGCCAGATTGCTTCATTGGTTGTTTTACTAGCTCCCACATATTCACCCTCCATGGTCAAATCAGAAAACATGAGTGCTTGATACTCCTTTATATCGTAGCTCCGCCATGAAGTATATCATTGATCCCAACGTTTACTTCCTAGAGTCGACACCCAACTGAAAATTTGAGTCTGTATAGCCCACGAGATTTAGCTCGTAAAGCCTAGTACTTAGGATATAATTCTTCGTGTAGATACTCGGATATATACTTCACAGCTACTTAGTGTTCTGGTCTAGCTTTAGATTGTTACCGACTGACTATCTCAATGGCATAGCAAATATCCAGTCTAATGCACAACAAGACATATATGAGACTATCGATAGCCAAAGTTCAGAGTATCAGGTTCATGATCCCTACCTGCTTAGGAGTTTTTAGGACATTGCTCATTCGAGAGGTGGATTCCATGTATAAAGAGCTAGTTCTCGTTCTTGGAATCTGTTCATTCATTTCACTAGTGTACAAATTGTGACAAATAATATATCGTGACAAAATTTGACAACATGGGATGGTAGACATGTTATATCGTTGCTTGAACCTAAGAAAAGAGCTCCAACTTTTGTTACAACGACGCCAGTCAACCGTCACTATTAAGCTGAAGTTTCTAGTCTAAGCCACATTGTTCACTCCGAGAATGCAAATGCTCTAGCCAAACAATGAGACTACTCTAACCAGATTGAAGAGCTCAGGTCCAATATTTCAAAGAAGCTAGCGCAGGTGAAAGCCTTACGCTTACTAAATGGTGCCTTGCCTGGGGCTCAGGTGCGACGAGTTCGACCTAGTGCAGGCATGCCCAACAAGCCAAGGACGCGGCAGCAGCCAAGAATTTATCTTGCACCCATCAGGATTTTAAGAGAATTTATGACTGAAGAGGTTAGTGAATCTCAACTAGTGAGTGATCATTTCAAAATCGTTATACCAATAGTTTATGTGGGTTGTGGCAAGACGGGGTGCCATATTAGTCGACTAAGCAACAGCAATCCCTTGAGGCCTTCGAGACAGCCTGAAGCTATAATATATATGCCAAGCAAACAGCATGTAGTTGCAGAGGATTCATAAGAACATTCAGTTGACAATGTAACGTTCGATAGGAAAACAATCCTAGACAAGGATAGGCGATGTTACATCTCCCATACTCATGATAGAAAAACAAAAGTTGAACCCCTTCCCCTTGTACAGGATTGTTTGTATGCCAGAACATCAAGTGGCAACACTGTGCTATTGGATAAGAAACAGATTTAAACAAATCAATGCAATGTTTTCACCTAGCATTCTATTAAACTGCTTGGCAAACCTCTTTGTACATGTAAGCATGATTCAAAAAATAGTGTCAGGTGGCAACACTGTATTGAATGTTGGATAAAAATACGGATTTAAACAAATCAATGCAATGCTGCCACCTGACATTCTATCAAACTGCCTGACAAACCCTATGTACGTGTCACATAGCAGCCTGAAGCTATAATATATATGCCAAGCCAACCGCATATAGTTGCAGAGGATTCATAAGAACATTCAGTTGACAATGTAACGTTCGATAGGAAAACAATCCTAGACAAGGATAGGCGATGTTACATCTCCCATACTCATGATAGAAAAACAAAAGTTGAACCCCTTCCCCTTGTACAGGATTGTTTGTATGCCAGAACATCAAGTGGCAACACTGTGCTATTGGATAAGAAACAGATTTAAACAAATCAATGCAATGTTTTCACCTAGCATTCTATTAAACTGCTTGGCAAACCTCTTTGTACATGTAAGCATGATTCAAAAAATAGTGTCAGGTGGCAACACTGTATTGAATGTTGGATAAAAATACGGATTTAAACAAATCAATGCAATGCTGCCACCTGACATTCTATCAAACTGCCTGACAAACCCTATGTACGTGTCACATAATTCGAAAAACAATACTAAACAATGATAGGCAATATGAAATCTCACGTACCCATTCCACTATTTTACCTTGTTTCTTGCTCACTTGACGGTTGGAGTAGATGGACATAGTAACCAAGTTCTCTTTTTGTTTTTTCAAAAACGTCTACTTTTACCGATCAAGAAAATCAACGAGAATTTTGAGTCTATTTAGAGGTCCATACTCGATTTTGCTGACATTTTGAGTTTCTTTCTTGATGTTAGCAGATAATACAATTACATATAGAAAGTTCGACAAAAAAATCTTTTATTTGGTGATATTAGAATGTAATTGAAGACCCAATCATTGTGTCTTATTGGCCCAGGCAATTACAATCTTTTGCTGTTTGTTAGTTGATTAAAATATCTGATATCTTCTTGTCAAGCTGCTTCAATCTTTGCATTAATACATTCACAGTCAAAGCAACGTCTGAAAGTTCAATTAACCTTCAAAGTTCAAGAGATTATATCTTGGCCAGGTCCTACTGAACTTCAACAGCCCACATCATGGCTAGCGAAAAACACTAGCAAGCTCTACGAAGTTCCTATCATGTTAAAAATACCCATAAACAAACAGTTCAAACTAAGTACAAAAAATAAAAACCTTGACATAGGAAATAAAAATTGACCAAGCCAAAATTCTATCAAAATCTGGAAACAAACTTTCAAGACATTTTTAATAGTCAAGCTCCTACACTTCAGCCAAAAACATGATAAAATGTTTAAAAATCAGGCAGTCAAGTCACAGAACAGCGGAACCCAATAACAAGATGTGCTAGAATGGAGCCTATCACCACATATCTCAGAAATCCTAGGCAGATTCAGCCTGAGATAAAAATGCTTTTCCTGGTTGACGCAGAGCCAGTGGCCCGTGACATCCCAAAAGCTGCAAAATCAAATAGAAATTCTCATATAAAGTCGAACTGCAGAAGAATAGCAAGCCCAGCCTCCAATAAGTTAGATAATAGAGGGGCAAACGTAAAGATAAACTTGAAAAGATGGGAAACCGCTGCAAATATTTTAATTAATCTTTGAGGTAACGACTGACCTTAGCATTCACACCATCAGACATAATACGATTCTCAGATTTCCACTTCAGGTAATCAGTGCGGCTGTATTTAGTGAACCCCCTGAAATTCAAGATGGAGATCAGTACTTTTAACATATGCACACGTCTCAATTTATCCAAATACGATACATAAAGAAGTCAATAGGGAAGCAGCATACCATTTCCTGCTTACAATAATCTTTTGACGGCCAGGGAATTTGAACTTTGCGCGTCGCAATGCTTCCTGGGCATTGTGGCTGTTGCTATCTTTGCAGCGAACGGACAGAAGAACCTGGCCAATAGCAACACGAGCACAAACACCTTGAGGCTTGCCAAAAGCACCCCTCATGCCAGTTTGGAGCCTATCAGCTCCGGCACAAGACAACATCTTGTTAATTCGCAAGACGTGAAAAGGGTGTACCCTCACCCTCAGGTGGAAAGCATCCTTTCCTGCAAACTTGGTCATGTACTTATTGCAGGCAATACGAGCAGCTTCAAGTGCTTCACTGGACACATTTTCTTTTTCCCAACTCACCAAGTGCACACAAAAGGGGAATTCATCAACTCCCTTCTTCTTCATCCCAACATCATAGATCCTGATCTTGGGATCTGGTACACCACGACAGAACCGTGATTTTGGGTATGGCTTATTCTTGATTTGGCGATAGCACCTGGCAGGTCCTGCGCATTAGAATTCAACCCATCAAAACAAGGTACTGTGCTTTCTACTGCCTAAGATTATTAAAAAAGAATGGTATTTTCATTTCCCATTGTGTATGATTTACAATCCACTGCAGTAATGCTACACGAATTAAATACAATCCACTACAGTAATGCTACACGGATGGAAAAACAGAATAGTCTCATAAAACAATAATACAATGAAATGTAAACAATTACATCAAGGACAAGCAGCCCTATCAAAGATTAATGAGAAACAACATATCACCTGCCAAAGCCAACGAAAGTTTCATACAAAACACAAAATCACTCAACTACAACAAATTGATACAGAATCAACTTTTTCAACCTCGCCAATAAGTTTCCCCTCTCATCATAACCATAACCCATGAAAGTACAACCTGCACAAGCCCAATCTACACATCACACTGGTAATTAGAGGGCTTACTCTTTCCAGTCAACCAGTATACAACCTACTTAGCACCCAAAAAAAGGTTACAAATTCAAATATCCACATTTCTAAAGAAAAAAAAAATCCCATAACTCATCATAATTGAAAATACTATCTCATTCACCAACACAGCACAAAGAGTAAGAATTATATACCCTAATACCATAAATGCATCACCAAAGCCTAATATCCCTACAAATAAACCTAAAAAGGGCTTTCAAATATCAATAAAAACAATGGATCCAACATAACAACCGTAATAAAAAGGTCAGCAACACACAAACTTTCCAAAATCTCTTTGATTCAAACTATCAAACATATAACGCACAAAATATTTCCTACATCATCATAGAGAATCATTTCATCAAAAATCAAAATGTAATTCAACAATATATATCTATAAATCTAGCTATACGTTTACATATACATGCATATTCGTCTAAGAATCTATATGGCGGTGAAGGGCTTACTTCTCCCCATGGCAAATTCTCCGGATTACTGATACGCAGCCTAAAAAAAAGAAATGGAGAACGATTCCAAGATTTGGAGAAATTTTGTTTATATAGTTAGGGTTGGATTGGGGGATATTGGGCTTATGTTTCCCGATGATTTTTCTGGGCTAAAGTATTATAGTCCTAATGGATTTTAAATTACTATACAAACAAATTGACACAAATAGCACTAAAATTTCAAGTATAGATGTATAATTCTTTTTTGAATAGTTCAGACGAGCTACGTTTACAAATGATCACTGAAGTTTAAGTGAAATTTTAAATTGTCCATCATAGTACCTTTTGACCCATTTAACAACTAAAGCTTGATTATACTAATGATCACTCCTTCAATGAAATCCACTCCATATTAGATTTAATTTGTTAAACTTCAACAACGACTAATGATTGTTGTGTACAATGTACATGTTGTGTAGAAGTGTATATTTTAACCGGAATTGAACCTCCTAAACCAAAACCGAATAAAAAATGGAGGTCTCGAAACAAATTAAAATTAGAAATCAAAATTCAAAATCGATAATGGTTTGAATGGTCATTAGTTCTCAAATCAAAACCCAGGCTTTAGATGGGAATTTGAAATTTTTTATAAATTTTTATTTTTAATAAATTATTCACATGAGCCATTGACTCGATGGGATGCAAAGGAAACGATGAGAATGTTGACTGTTATTTTGTTTTCTATAGAACTGAATTTATGTTGTTTTTAACACACCCGTATAAGAATTGACATTTCATGTTTAGCTCCGGCCCAAATAATTTCATTTACAAAATATTAGAAATGTAAGGGATAGTTTTATTGTTGAAATACCAGGATTGACCCACCCTATGCCCAAATTTAGATGGGAATTTGTAATTTTTTATAAATTTTTATTTTTAATAAATTATTCACATGAGCCATTGACTCGATGGGATGCAAAGGAAACGATGAGAATGTTGACTGTTATTTTGTTTTCTATAGAAATGAATTTATGTTGTTTTTAACACACCCGTATAAGAATTGACATTTCATGTTTAGCTCCAGCCCAAATAATTTCATTTACAAAATATTAGAAATGTAAGGGATAGTTTTATTGTTGAAATACCAGGATTGACCCACCCTATGCCCAGAACCTAATGTTGTGACTTTAAATTCATCAAAACAAAATGTGATTTCAAGAGCAAAAAAGCTCGCATTTAGCCAAACTTTGGCAATATCCACTCTAGATCCAATGTCAACCATTCAACCTTGAACATCAATTTATGATAGCTGTGCTCATATCGTGAAATTACAGATAATCAAAATAAAACACGATTTTTAGGAGAAAGAATCACATTCAACCAAGATTTGAAGTCGCTTCCTTTAACCATAAAATTGATCGCTTTAACTATTGTTAGTCTACGTGAAGCTCTAACGACAAATTCATCAAAACAAAATGTGATTTCAAGAGCAAAAAAGCTCGCATTTAGCCAAACTTTGGCAATATCCACTCTAGATCCAATGTCAACCATTCAACCTTGAACATCAATTTATGATAGCTGTGTTCATATCGTAAAATTACAGATAATCAAAATAAAAAACGATTTTTAGGAGAAAGAATCACATTCAACCAAGATTTGAAGTCGCTTCCTTTAACCATAAAATTGATCGCTTTAACTATTGTTAGTCTACGTGAAGCTCTAACGACTACTACGTTGAATATGATGACTCAACTAAGCAAAGTGACCAAATATGTAACATTATTTAACTTTCGAATCTAAATAGATCAAAAAAATACTTAAATTTTGTGAACTTCTGTAATTGTTGTTGAACTTATTTTATAATGCTAAATTTTAGTTTTCCATCAAATTCCTTTAACCTTTTCCTCTTTTCGATTTAGTCCAAGTGATATTTAGTCGAGTCTAATTGAGAGTTGTTAAAGACAATAAAAAATAATTTGACATATACATATTATTTTGAATAAAATAAAAATCAATTCCAAGAGATTGGATTCTCTAGGTCAAAAATATTTCTTACTTCAAGCCCTTCTCCCAAGACTTGTCGTTTATATTAAAAAAAAAAAAAAAAAAAAGGAAAAAGAGTATCAAAAAAATACTTAAATTTTGTGAACTTCTGTAATTGTTGTTGAACTTATTTTATAATGCTAAATTTTAGTTTTCCATCAAATTCCTTTAACTTTTTCCTCTTTTCGATTTAGTCCAAGTGATATTTAGTCGAGTCTAATTGAGAGTTGTTAAAGACAATAAAAAATAATTTGACATATACATATTATTTTGAATAAAATAAAAATCAATTCCAAGAGATTGGATCCTCTAGGTCAAAAATATTTCTTACTTCAAGCCCTTCTCCCAAGACTTGTCGTTTATATTAAAAAAAAAAAAAAAAAGAAAAGGCAAGATCACTGCCAGATATATCTTGCGAAACATAAGAAGTTTTCAGTGTAGAGGACGAAGATGTTGGAGTGAACATCTTTTCAGGACCAGATACTACGGATTCTGACATCATGGTATCGGATTCTGGCATCATTAACCATATGCTTTCGAGTTCTCTAACCACTTCGACCATTGAGGGTCGGGTGTCTGTATCATCGTGGCAACAGTTAAGAGCCAGCTTCATGAATTTCATTGCACATTCAGAAGGATAAGATCCCATCCGATCATCGATAATAGAGAATATCATTCCAGAAGAATATGCAATGTTGACCTGATAAAGATAGACAACAATTAAGTAAAGTTTAACTGTCCAGTAATTCGATTTTTTTGAGTGAAAGTTCGGTACAACAGCATATAGTCAAGAACGGAGTGGTAAAATAGAACCACTTTGCATCAGCAATTAGCTGGCATAAAATATAGCATCACAAAATTTCGTGCACATTGCTTTCTATTTTACACGAGCATTTTGGCTAAGTTTTGAGTAAAAATGAAGTTAATGGTAAGTAACTTCTTGCCTCCAAACAAGTTTGGATAACTTGTTTCATACTTTAAGGTTACTTCTTCTAGAAGTAACTCTTACCTAAACAAGTGAATCGCTTATTTTCAACTTTCAAGCAAAGAAAATTTATTTTATTTATATATTTTAAAGTAAACTACGAAATATGCACCAGAAACAATGACAAAGCAGCGAGATAGTACCTCCCTAACAATGTTTTTGCCATGGTAAATCGGGTGCATCGCAGTCAAGAGCTCCAGAAATACAACTCCAAGGCTATAGACATCACTTTTGTCTGTTAACTTATGAGTTAGGAAGTACTCTGGATCAAGGTATCCCTGCAGAAATCTCACATCAGTATTTTTGCATAGCTCATAAGATTAATTGAATTAGAATTGTTCCGGTTTGACCGTTAAATCAGTCCTGCTGGAAAAATTAATTGAAAAACACATTTGAGCTTGGTCGTGCAATCATACTTACAGGGGTCCCCTTAACTACCGTAGATACATGAGCAGGTACCAATCCTTCAAGCTCGGGAACTGGAGCAAGTCGGGATAGTCCAAAATCAGCAACTTTGGCGGTAAATCGAGGGTCCAATAATATGTTGCTTGCCTTGATATCACGATGATATATTGGAGGATTGGCTTCCATATGTAGGTAAAGTATACCTTTGGCTGAACCCAATGCAATTCTTAATCTCATAGCAAAAGTCAAAGGCACTTTTGAGTTACCTGTAATATCTCAAATATTAACACAATTGTGCCCATTACACAAAATAAAAATTATATAAATTCTAAATGTTTTTATTGTTTGATATAGTGAGAATTAGGAAAGCTCATTACCTCATGCAATAGTGTCCAATATACAAGGATAGTGAACATGCCCGCAAAATATTTATATTATTTTGTTAGTTTTAGCTTTGATTGGAACACAAGGAGGATGCAATGACGACAAACTTAGGACATGTTTTAAGTACAATCGGTATATGACAATTTAAGTTCAAAGGAGGATAAAGTCAGGGAAAGGAAGGAAATATGACAAGAAAAAAGAACAACAAGGCTTGAGATTCCCCGATACTTTATTTTTGTGGGTCTGAATATCTCTGACTCTGTTTGGCCACCTAAAAATGTCTTTGTTCCAACAATTACAGATCACCACAATGATGTTTAATTTAAGTTCTACAATTCTTTTCCTGCTTATTTCTTGATAGTTTCTGTCATTCTACTTTTATCAAAAATGTGGTTTCAACAATGTCCATAAGTGTCATTCTACTTTCCGCCCAAAAGGCTTGATGCCGGTTAGGATTCTTTCAAAAATATCCAGCCAAATAGTAGTAAGCAGTATGCTTCCATAAAGCCCAAATTATTGAAACATATAGATTATCAATTTAAAAAAGAACGAGTTCAAATTTACCGGATAGGTGGTCTCTCAAGTTACCATTAGACATGAACTCATATATCAACATCTGCATTATGAAAAAAACACGGTAAACAAGTGACTTTTGACTTAGCAGTGTATAGCAACAAGTTATCGTAAAACAAAACAATTTGAAGGGAGAAAAATAGTTGCTTTGCAGGAAGATAAAATGATTTAAAATGGCTAGGTTTAAGCCTTTCCAGCACTTCTTGTCATTGGTCTGGTGTCCTGAAATGATATCAGAACGAGAGACAAGCTTATATAAAAAGCTTTTGAAATGAACAGTAACCATGTAACTGCTGTAATCTTGTCTCATGCTCTTCCTACAATAAACATCATATTTTCTTGTCATATTGGTGCACAATAGGGAAAGCGATAAATATTTCGTTCATGTAGCAACTCCTATACTTTCAATGTTCTTTGTCAGCATAACAAACATAACTGTGAAAATTATGGTTTCAAGCTTTAAAACCTGTATCATATGGTCATTACTTGTCCATTTTTATAATGGTTTCAGCTTTTTTCGTCAGTTATTTATCCAGGCTTATATCATATGAAGCTGGATATCAGAAGAAAAGCTTTTAAATGATGTTGAGAAATGTTGAATTCCCTATCATGTACGGAGATGAGGAACGTTCTTCAAAAGTCCACCAACTAAAATCCAGATAGGCCCTATTAGTAAGCAAGCATATATCTCATGGATTGAAGATGCAATCAAATTATGTTGAAACGTTTCAAACCTATTAGAGTATGCAGATGGGCAAAGTTCTTCCAAAGACCACCAATCAAAACTAAGGATGGCAAAATACCCTGCATTGCCACGCCCCAATAGGTAATCGGGATGGGACGGATAATATGGTACCCACCCCATATCATTTTATTTTACTTTAATTTATTTTTTTAATTTAGTTAAGTGTTGAATTTAAGAATTAATGGAGAAAAGCAGCTGTTATTTGCTCCTTCACATTTTAAATAAAGATTCAAATTAAGAATGAAATCAATCTTTTCCAACAAATGAATTCACAGAAACTCATGCAAAAACTAGGTAAGTTAAATGGGTAAACTCATCCCAAATTTAGAAGAAATTAGGCACCAAATCACTCATCGAATGTTATATTTAAGTACTGTACACGACAGAGTCAAACATTTAGAAATATGGAGACATACATTGATATCAAATTCAATGAAATCAAATCGTCTTGCATCAAGAAGACAATACCTTTCAGTAGCAGTCTACTTGCCATTGTCAGTACAGTCTAATATAGCAAACATGCATATATATTAAACATGAAAAACAAGAACAAAATTTCCAAAAAGCACAGTAGATCTAAACATCAGAGCCTATTCACCATTAGCATGTTTGAACAGCACAAATTACCTTCTTCAGGATCAGTTTTCTGGCTATTTGCACCAATAAGCAACAAAATCCAGCACAGACACCCAGTAAAAGTCAATCCAAGCTTGACAAAACTTGGCTGGGACCTTCCAGAAAAACCCATTTTTCAAAAATCACCAAACACCTTCAATGCTTAATTCACACCTGATATAATGATCAAGAAAAATAAAATTCAAAATTAACCCAACGCTAATAATTGGGAAAGCATAAAAAGTCAAGGATTGAACTAAACCAAACACCTTGAGATAGCTGAAAGAACTAAGAGAATTTCAAAACGCAAAAGTAAACGACTTATTATATTCTTTAACAAAAGGGTGATAACAACTCACGACGAAAGTAAACTAATAATAAACAAATATGAAGAAAAACATGTCTGCAATTACTGTCAGGAAAAAATAATGAATACAAGATAAATATGCTTATGGAATAATTACAGGAGACAGGAGTTTCTGCAGGTTTTTTGAATTTCTGGGTCGCCATTAAATTTCTGCGAGAGAAGAAATTTGGGTTGACCGAGTCGCCGTTGAAGGGTTAAGTAGATGAACTGACGGGTGAATATTGGTAAGACAATAATGCAAGTAGCGGCCATCTTTTTCAAAATCTGATGTTTGGACTGTAAAATATTGAATTCAATTACACATAAATCAGGTCATTAATGGCTTGCAGAATTTTTATTTTTGTTTATTCAATTTGAAAAGAATTGCTAACAGCCATTGATTTATAATAATGAGATAATGATTATACTGATAATCTATACATGATTACACATGAGACAAGAGTAAATTTCACAGTGGTACCCAACGTTTGAACTCTTCTGTACTTGTAGCCATTATAGTCAACCATCCATTTCATATCTACTTGAGTATTTACTATTTAGTGCTACCATCCAAAATATGAAAATAACCATTAAACGCTGATGGGGGATTAAAATTAAATTTTAATAGATTTTGATAAAAATAGATAAAATGTGTGACTAAAATATTGAGAGTTTCATTAAATATTTGGTTAAACTTAATTATTGACTTTAATTTATATTAGCATTTAAATTTAAATTCCTACTAAACAATATAAGGATTATTATTGGTGTACATAGGGGGTACATAAGGGTGTTCATGGACACCTTGGGGAGTGGCGCATCGTAACTGGTGATATACACCAAGAATAATCCTAAATATAATAATGCCAAAATGACACTATCAAATAGATCGACCATCTATTTCTAGGTGATTAAAAACAAGGGTAATAAAGGAAAGTTCCAATCCTCAGTTTTTAATGCAAATACAACTGAACCTTTGTATATATCGTTTGACTCAAATGTTAGGGCTTTCCCATCTACTTTCTTTTTAATCAAAAATCTGGAAATTAATTTCTAAAACATTTGGATGTTTTTATGGAGAATAGCGGGCATGTTTTTCAGAATTTTGAAAAGTTAAAAGCTATTTTTAAGACTAATCTTCAATGTATTTCATGGATTGCTGTTTAGGTGACACGTAAATAGAAAGACTTTAAATTTACATGGTATTGATGTATAATGAATAGATGTTAATCATTTTTAATTTCCGATGAGTTTCCTCCATAGTTCAAGTTTTAATCTTGTGTATATTTAATAGGAGACCGGGAAAATAATAGACATGAGAAAGAAAAAAAATAAAAAAATAAGAGAGAGAAAAGAAAAAGAGAGATAGCGTTAAAGAAGTGTCTTTCATTTGGACTAATTTCTTCGCATTGTCTATGTTTTTCTTACCACGTCTTCAATCTTCTATACATAGTCCAAGATGTTGCATTGAAAAGGAACTTTGCACACATTTTCTATTTTAACTTGTGTGGCTACTTTTTGAATGCAATTCATATTTTCATTGGGCATGTTAAAAAATTGTTTTTAGACATGTTTTAATAATTCTTTAAATTGCTTTGTTTGATTAAAATAATTTGTAATTAAACTTTCTCATTAAGATATTTTGCCAAAAAAAAAAAAGCAAGAGTAGAACCTATTCCAAATAGGTGAGGTAGCTATTTTGCCAAGAATAAAAGAAAAAAAAATACTTTTACCGCCTCGTTTATCTAGGTTGACTTTTCTTATTTTCTTGTTCCAAATTATAGCTCTGTTTCTTTATTGAGAATGTATTTGTTTTGTTCGTTTACTAATATACCCTTATTTAATTTCTCTAGTTATAACCAATTTTCCCGACTTAATTTTGAAATGGTTCAGATTTTAATTTACATATTCCTTGGAGTCATCCAAATACATACACGGTTCTTGAAAAGAGTATAGTTTAAGTGATTCATAGCATTTCCCACTTCTTTTTGGAAACATGGACAAAAATACATTCACACACAACTCTCATTATGCACACAAAAACGAAGATACGTCCACGTCTTCTGAAAATGTGCACGTGATTCTCTACACGTGATTTTTTTTTTTATTCCTTCAACTAATCTCACTTAATATCTCCAACTTTTTAAGCCATGAGTACGATATCTAAAAATCATCCACATTTCATCAATCTTAGTGAAGATGCCTATACAACAATTTTTAGAATTGATCTTGACTCGAAGAAAGCGGTGAGGCCATTGCTTGATTTAAATGTTCTATCGAAAGAATATAATATGGTTATATTTCTGCTTCTCAACAGTATTAACGTGTTGTTTCTTATATGATCAAAATCTATCTACCCAAATTCTATGAGGATTAGATTGATGCTTTTGCTAATAAAGCTGATACTGATATCAAGAAATGGTATGTCGTGTTCAGTGCCAATATTTTAAGTAAATTTCTCAAAGGCCCGTTGCATAACCATGAATCTGGATGAGGTGGTGTCACAAGTTTTTTAGAGCAATTTAATGACAATGATTGATTTTGCAACATTTTTACAACACAGATGCATATTTACCATAAGGATATGTCTATTTTACCACAAGGATGAAATTAATGACAAAGAAAATGTATCTTTTTATTAATAATTCAACATCAGTGCTTCTGCCTCCCTCTTGTATATTGATTGATCACTAACACAACGTTAATTTACAAAAGATATATATTGTGCATAATACCAGTTTCAAATATCTTCCGAGAACAATTTTCAATAATAAAAAGCCAACCCTTAAAACGAGTTCTAAACATGTTTAAATATCCTACAAACCCTAGGATATTGGGAAAACAGTACAATAATGCAAATAAAATAAAAGACAAAAGTGCTGTTTCTGAGTCTCAAATGACCTCGACTGGCTAAAATCTATCATATGCAGCAGCAAAGCGGCTTGTTCGGTCTGTCTTGTTGTTTCCTTACCGAAAAGTATTATGGGCTCAAATCAAAGCTCGTATGCCAATCTACAAAATTACCAAATTCAATTAGGAGTTGCCTTAGCCACGTCCAGAACTTCAGATTTGAATTGAATTTCTAATCAATTTTTGTTTGTTCATATGTGTACTCGTATAATTGTTATCCTAAAATTTTTCATCACCTCAACCATGCATGATTGTCGTGTCAAAAACACATTGTTCAAATCTTCACTTGAAAATTTTTCAAAAGCATTCTCTACCGCTAAAACAAATTCTTCAATTGTAGCTGGAGCCTCTTGATGTTGAAGGGAATCAATGGCTCCGAAAAAACCAAGAACTAAGACATTTGTATCTGACTGTTCGAAGGTTGACAACATAAACAAATATTGAATACATCTTATCTCCCTTCTTCTACAAAATTGATATCATTAACATCCAAATGTGGCTCTCCATTGTCTTGTTGAATGAAGATGGTCCTAGAACTTGAACATGGCCATTTTTTTTATTTTTTTGATTGAAGGCAACAAAGTTTCAATTACACATAATCAGATGACATCTATAGTTACCAACACAAAAGGAAGTTCTAGCTACGCGGTTTTTACTACTCCGCTTGGTTGTTTCCTTAGATACAAATAGCCATATTCCAATTTTGCCTCTGAATTCTTCATTTGTAGTAGCATCAAATCGTGGACTAGAAACGGCAAACGAAAACATTATCTTGGCAATAATTCTTTTAGTTTTACATGTGCAAAAGTGCTCCGTTTCATTGTAGAATAATCATAGCATGCTTTGACATGAATTTCAGGTCAACAAACTTACTTGAAATGATGAATTTCAAGATCTTTGTGTGGTTGAATCACATTGCCTTCAAATCTCCAAAATTTGTATTTTCTTGTGCTCCAATAGTCCAAATCCCGATCACAATGAAAAGGGATTATTATCGACAATCCAAGTGTAATTTCTTGTGAGATTTCATACCAAAAATGTGGTTCTAGGGGATTTTCAATTTTGGTGTGATTTTTCATACGAATTTTCACCATATTCTTCATACCACCATCTTGTTCCTTTTTCTACAAATTCCATGTGGAAGTTTAAGTGATTACTTGGGAATTATAGGTTTGAATTTACAATTCAGACCACTCCCTCCAACCCTTTCAAAATATTGCGGGTCGGGTCACCCCACATGGACGACCCATTATCTGTGTTTTCCAACATCTCTCAC